AGTCAAGGAGTGGCAGATGGAGTTTAATTTAGATAAATGTGAGGTGCTGCATTTTGGAAAGGCAAATCACGAAAGGACTAATACATTTAATGGTAATGTCCTGGGGAGTGTTGTTGAACAAAGAGACCTTGGAGTGCAGGTTCGTAGTTCCTTGGAAGTGGAGTCACAGATAGATAGGATAATGAAGAAGGAGTTTGGTATACTTGCCTTTATTGGTCAGTGCATTGAGTATAGAAGTTGGGAGGTCATTTTGCAGCTGTACAGGACACTGGTTAGGCCACTTTTGGAATACTGTGTTCAATTCTGGTCTCCCTGCTATAGGAAGGATGTTGTGAAAATTAGAAGGGTTCAGAAAAGATTTACAAGGATGTTGCCAAGGTTGGAGGGTTTCAGCTACAGGGAGAGGGTGATTAGACTGGGGCTATTTTCCCTGAAGTGTCGGAGGCTGAGGGGTGACCTTACAGAGATTTATAAAATCATGAAGGGGTATGGATAGGCTAAATAAATAAGATCTTTGCCCCGGCTGGGGAGTCCACAACTAGAGGGGGTAGGCTTAAGGTGAGAGGGGAAAGATTTTTTGGACATAAGGGGCAACTTTTTCACGCAGAGGGTGGTGCACGTATGGAATGAGATGCCAGTGGAAGTGGTGGAGGCTGGTACAATTACAACATCTAAAAGGCCACTGGAAGAATATCTGAATAGGAAGGGTTTAGAGGGATATGGGCCAAATGCTGGCAAAAGGGAACTAGATTTATTTAGGATATCTGATCAGCATGGACGAGTTGGACAGAAGGGTCTGTTTCCATCTCTATGCCTCTACGACTATGTGTTTCTTTTGGGTGCTTTCTATCAGGCCACAAAAGGGAAATTCGAAATTACATTTTAGGTACTGGCGACAGGTTGTACACCATGTACAATTTGCACACATGTCTCTGCAGTTTTGTAATACCAAACCTCAAATTTGTAATAACTTTGAAAAGCCAGATGAGTGGTTCAAGCACTTACGCTGGTTGCACTTGTGGCCTCCAATGTGCACTTTGCCAGTATAATTCTGTTCAGGCTGGGGGCATTATCCAGCACTCTCTGACTGCACAGTAAACCCAGATAGGATGCTTCAGTAGCCTGTGCTTTTCCCCTTCTGTCTTTACCTCTTTGGAGGACTCGATCTAGAGCTGGGATGCAATGGTCTTGCGATTGACACATGTTGCTACATTGAATATTGGCTTACCTGTAAGCAACACGATTTGTGCTTTGCAGATCATCGGGTTTCCACATGTATCCCATAATGTCACAGGCCTCCAACTTGCCAACGCTGCCTGGATCCATCAAACAATACACCCTGCCGAGATCTTGGGACTGCAGTTGATTTTTAAAAATATTCTTCTGTGGACACAGTCCTGAATATTCCACTTTTAACTGCAATAACCATATCTGAAAGAGGTCAAAACATGAGATCACATTGCTGCAACTCACTGGCTCTTCCAATTAGTGGGATATAAACCCCAGGTTTATAATGTTCCCTGTCCCCCAAAGATTTACCTGATTATATAGGAATGTAGCCACAACCCAGGTCAAGGAGATATGACCTCAATTTTTCGTGTGACAAGACTTTTACATCATGATCCTGAAAGTGGTCTCGGATCCAGGGAAAAACAGTGAGGAGAAAAAGCGAGACCTCCTGCTCCTAGACTTCAGGACCCCTCTCGGAATTGTGCTGTGCTCAGACCCTGACCTGAGCAGGCATTAGAACTGATCTGGTGAGTGCTCCTCATTCAGTTGACATGTCTTGAATCCCTCAGGACAGCCAGTGTACTCTTATCAGTGGAGTAAACATGTCCAGAGAGAGAGAACTCAGAAATTTACAAAAACAGAGAGACAAAAAAAATACTAAATTGCCTAATGATTCTGGAGTCTGTGTGCGGCTTTTAAAAATAATAGCGCAGACAAACAAGTCTGGTAGGCAACTCTAAGCTGCATAGTATCAAGGCAAAAAACATCAGATAAGAAACTGACAGGCTTACAATAGACGCTGCTAGAAGGGTATGTCACTGTGAAGGTTGTGGGGAGCAGGGGAAAAGGGGAGAATGTTTGAGTCAAATGGCCATTCTCTCTGGGTTCCATTCCCTGCAGGACCCATTGTGCCACTTGAACCTTCTGGATCAGATAAATGGTGCTACCACTGAGCAAAATGACCATGGCACAGCAAGTTTGTTATCGTTACACTCTGTGATGGCAAAAGTCAAAGTATTTCCTCTGCAGTTCAGTTCCTCTTGAGTATTGCAAAATACCAGGAAATCAGTGAATCATGGCTGGAGGGGGAGTCCCTTCCCTTGGTTTGTTGCAATATGTGCCATGTTTGAAGTTCATACAGGTTTGGGAATGAATCAATGTTCTGTTGAGAATCTTAATAACTTGCCAGCCAAGAGGCACCAGAACAAAGTCAGTTCTTGCTCTGTATCTGCCTTCCATGTCTGCAATGCTCCTGTTCTCTTCAGGAGGTTCTTAGCGGCTTGAATGTGGAAAAATTTAGTGACTAACCTCGCACTATTTTATCCTCAGCACACTATCAGAAATCCAGCACAGCATTTCTTGAGCAGACATGGAGCCAACGCTGAAACATGGTGCACACAGATACAGGTTCTATCTCAAACCAGGTTTTAACCATCCAGTTTCACACTCAGCTCTCTGCAGGTGGAGAATTGTGCACTCGGTCGCAGGCTGAGAACTTGCAGAAGGTGTGAATGGTCAGCAACATGATGTTACACGGCTTGAACTTGAAGTGGCAGGCAACGAAGCAGCAATGGGAGCAGGTTCCAGATGGCATCAGATGATAAAAAAGGATGAATTGGTGCACATTTAAGAATCTTTACAGGAATCTTTCTGGACATCCAGGCAGCGCCCACTTAATAAGCAGTAGACACCTGCTTAAAATTTAGCTCAGAGATAAATGTTACTTTGCATATTTCCCTAATTATGTAGCTATAAACTAGGCATGATGGTGGATTCTGTCCCTCAGATCCAATTTTTTTAAACTGTACACATCATTAATCTAATTTTGCAACTGAGGGAGAGAAATGTTCAAAATGATTTGCCAGTGTATAAAGATGGATCAACTCACTCCCAGTGATTAGCACAAATGCCTGGTGGGTGTGAGTGTAAATGCAAACTCCCAAAATTTAAATAAGATCCGAGATATAGATCATGAATACATAATACTTTTACTGTATTATAGTTTAACCTGGCAAATAAACCACCGATCCATAACACATATGTACCTCTTGAACAAAAATATACATAAGCATAGACACATATGAGCACAGTGCAAATGACCATTGACATTTCCAAGCACAGAAACTTGAGTTGTCACTTGTATGTACTTCCTCAAATCCTCTTTCCATAATAAAATGAAAAACACAATGAACATGCATGTCTGAGATAACAAGGTGTAGAGCTGGATGAACACAGCAGGCCAAAACACATGTTTAATTAGAGTTTATCGCTGCAGTCACAAAGGAGGAGAGAATAGAGGTTGGGGTGAAGAATGAAGTGTGAATGCAGGGACGAAGGGGGCAAGATCTGTGAGCTTGGGAGTCTGGGGTAGCACATGTGAGGGAAGGGAATTCAGTGGAGCAGATTTTGTGAGGGTATGGAGCTGTGAAGGGGATGGCCAAGTGCAGGAGCTGTGGAAGTGTAGATTGGGGGGTAGGAGGTGTGAGCATTTGGAGTGGGGACAGGGATTTTGATAAGGGGAGTTGGGGTAGGAGCTGGCTAAACATGAAAGACAAATGAATTAATAAACATAATACTCAAATGGATTTTACATGAGGAAGCACAATGACATGAAGAGATAGTACAGGGTTTAGTGCAGACTAAAGTGAGTCCAGACAACAGTATATATCAATCTGGTTTCATGCAGGACCATATGGATTTTTCCCGACATGATTTGCATCCTGAAATGTTCATTATTTTTGCTATATTTTTCTGCAATCTCTGTAAAATCCTTAATGATTCTCCTTTCCAGGCTGAATATGAATGCAACTTGTCCTTGAATACTTTTACTTGGTCACATCCAAGTGACAAGGTTTAGGTTACACCTTGACAAACAAAGAGGAAAAAATCCACATTGCATCAGCACAGATTGGTAAAGTGCTTTTAAAAGCATTGTCATTTTCCCCTCTCGGGGTATGGGCTGATAAAGCATGAGGTGTAGAGTTGGATGAACACAGCAGGCCAAGCAGCATCAGGGGAGCAGGAAGGCTGACGTTTCGGGCCTAGACCCTTCTTCAGAAATGGGCTTTGTGTTAATCTCAGACAACAAGGTGCAGGGCTGGATGAACACAGCAGGCCAAGCAGCATCATAGGAGCAGAGAGGCTGACGTTTCGGGCCTAGACCCTTCTCCAGCATCTGCAGTTCCTACTATCTCTTTGTGTTAATCTCGTCAGGTTTGTCTCAAGCAGATACAATAAAAGAAAGGTGAATCCTGATATATATGTATACCCGCGCTGTTAGACAAAGACTGTTCACGAAGATGGTATCCCTTTGAAACATCTATATGTGAACATCTGTGGTAAATTGTTGGGTTTAGCAGAAATGATGGAGGTTGTCCTGCGGATTATCTAACATCACTGCCTGCCTAAAATTGCACCTGAAAGTGAGGCGTTATCCCTTTCACTCCGGTCTTCACTTCACTGATGAAATGATGAGGTGGTAACATAAAATCTCTATTTCTCTTCTTGTCAGTTTAGGCTTTAAGAACAAAAGACACCATCTGCCCTCACCCCAGGATGCACTTCACCGTTTTATTTACCATGGCCCTCACAACTGATCACGCCGCCGCCCGCCAACATTCACGCGCAGGGGACGGGGCTGAGGGCGGCCCGCGCCGCCAGGGGTGGGCGTGAGCGTGCCGCGCGCCTCAGCGGGCGGTGCTGAGGACGTCGCGCGCCGCAGCGACCTGAGTTGAGGGTTGCGCGCTAAAGTGGGAGGGACTCAGTGTCTGAGATAACAAGGTGTAGAGCTGGATGAACACAGCAGGCCAAGCAGCATCAGAGGAGCAGGAAAGCTGACGTTTCGGGCCTAGACCCTTCTTCAGACATCCTTTCTGCTGCTTGACCTGCTGTGTTCATCCAGTTCTATACCTTGTTACCTCAGATTCTCCAGCATCTGCAGTTCCTACTATCTCTGGGACTCAGTGTCTCTCGCGCTACGGGCAGTGGGCGGGGCGCGCATACTTTCCGGCCTTTTTTCGGAAGCCCCGCCCATCGCGTGCGCGGCCGCTCCTAGATTCACGCATGCGTGCCCACTCTTTCCATAAGAGGCTGTTGAGAGTAGGGGGTGCTATCAGATTGAGGGAGGTTTTGACGGGGAAGGTAGTGTTCCTGCTTCAACAGTGATTGAACGGAACCTTCATTCCCAACTGCGACCCGCGAGCTTCTCTGTTCATACTCACTATCGTTATCTCCTGATCCGTCCATCGTCATGAGTTCCCAGGTGCGACAAAATTATCATCCTGACTGTGAGGCCGCCATCAGCCGCCAGATCAACCTGGAGCTTTACGCCTCTTATGTTTATCTCTCTATGGTGAGTACCGTCCACGGCCTTCGCGAAGGAGGAGGCTGGTCGACGCTTTTCTCACCAGAGGCGGAGCTCGGTTTCTGGTGAAGGGTAAAAGGGTCTTGTGGGCTGAGTGTGAGAGGAGGACACATGCCGTGTGGGGGAGGGGATTAGTGAAGATGGCTCTGGCTCTGTCTCGGGCCTTGATGGCCGCTACCTGATCATTGTTTCCTCGATTCTAGCATAATGGGCGCGGTGTGAAGGAGCTCTTTAATTATGAAACGTTTCCTGAGAACCGTGTTCGTGAACTGTAACCAATTACCTTGCGGTGGATGGCTTGGCTGAATTCAGCGACCGGCTTTTATTCTACAAAGCCTCCTTTCTCCAAGCATTAAGATGAAAGGATGGTTAATTTTAATCTTATGGTTATTCGCGCAATAGCTCACCGCCTTTGCACGGGGAGTTTGATCAGAAATAAGGCAGCTTTTACTATCTCGGTGGATGGATGCCAGATTGAGAGAAAAATGCAATGTGGGCATTGTTGAGAAGGCGTTTTGTCCGCTGCCCTCTTGGATCTAAATTTTTTTTTTTTGGAGGGTCCCGGTTGTGTCTGAACAAAGGCCGTAGGCGAACAAGGCATTTTATAGCCAATGCAGTAATTTCGTGTTCACTGCGAGTAAGTAGCCCGTTCGTCGCTTTCGTGTAAAATTCAGTTACCGTGGTGGGCTTTGGATGCTATCTCTGGGTCATTAATCCACGTCTCTAAATTGCTAGCCTACAGTAACGTCCAATGGACGTCACCACATGACAATTTTGTGTTTGCAAGGTCCCACTTATGTCAGAACTATACTAGGGGTCTGTTGTCTGTTTCACTTAAACAGTTTTATTGTTTAAAACTGGTCTATGCCTTTGGTTATCTTGCATCTGCAGAAATCAATTTCTTCAAACAGATGAGTTAAATCACGAACGGAAATAGGGGAAAAACTCAATTGGTCTAGCAGCATCTTAAATGCTGTTTTAAGCCTTGTTTTGACTCAACAGTGTGGTGCTAAAACTAAAATGGTTAGGTTTAAAAATTCAGTCAGTGCCTGCTGGTTTGGTTGTAGCTTTTTATACCTAACTGAATAGTGACCTGGAGTTTTCATTTGCTGGAATTAAGCACCTATTTGTGTAGCACTCTTCCTACAAGGATGAGGTGGAAAAATGAGGAGTTGAGCCTGAGTTTTCTGTTTTGAAAAATGGAGTCTATGTTCACTGCACTGTACTAAATTCCTATGTTCTCTGCTCTGGTTCCCTCAGCATCTTTTGTAGCTTCATCCTTTAGCACCAGAGGATCTAGATGTTGCCAACACAATCAAGGGCTCTAGATTACAAATGTATCTCCTTGATCAATCACTCTATCCTTGGTATTAAATTTTTACTTTTGTGCAGTGCTTTGGGATTATGGAATCTGCTATTAAAAACACTAAACTCACTGGTCCATGTGAATGAATACTTGAAGATATTTTGTATTGTGAATTGGAGCCTGCTAGTTATGACTTGGTTGTGCAAGCAACTTATTTCAATTGCTGCTGCCTACATAACCTAAGTTTAAATTTTCTTTCCAGAACCAAAGACTAGATACAATGTATCACTTCACAAGCTTGTACTTCCAATGTTCACAACACAAATTGCACTTTGTCTTTTCCCAGTCTTTTTACTTCGATCGAGATGACCTTGCATTGAAGAATTTTGCCAAATTCTTTCTGGAGCAATCTCATGAAGAGCGTGAACATGCTGAGAAACTCATGAAACTGCAAAATCAGCGAGGAGGGCGTATCTTACTTCAGGATATCAAGGTTAAGAAGCTTGCTAGTATTTGTATAGACTTGCTCAACTGAAACTTGTTTTCTTCACTCTAGAATGTGGTCTAGGGGCTTGCTGATGGTGGTTGTTACACTAATAACTGAACTGTGCTAATCAAAAACTAAGATCTTTAAGTAGTGCCAATGGTCATGGATGTTGCAATTGACTTGTTTAATGGCCTGGTACTTTTTAGCCATAAACTCTCTAAATCTAATTTTGATTATACAGGATAATTCACTGCTAAATTGGGTAGCTGCAGGTTTAATACAAATTGGATCTCAATCAGCAATTATCTTGGATTGGAGCAGTCTGTCTGCCTACCTACTTCCATTGGGAGTTTGAACTGGCATGAGGTTGAGTGAAGGATGCATGGATTTTCTGACTTTGATCTCTTCTTTCTTAAAGCAGTTCCAGCATTTGAATATATCTAATTTAAAGATGTAACTCCCCTTTGAGAGGATTAGGACAAGTGTAACAATCAATGCAACTTTGCTAGTGAGTAGTTAAGATGCAGTCAGCTTCTTGGCAATCTTCCAGGTATGGAAGCCTCAATTGATTTACTGAAATGTCTGGAGTTGAATGGGTTTGCTCTTTAGTGCCATTCTCTTTGCTCACACTCATGCACTCTGTGCTTCCCCACACCCATCTTGGCAAACTGGTGCTCCTCCTGCTCGGAGTAATACTTTCTGCATTTTTTAGAGCATTTCTGACAAGACTAGCATTTGTTGATTCAAGTGACTGAGCTGTCCTCCTGAACCATGTAGTCCACATGGGTAAGCAGAAGGGATTGCAGAATTTTGACTTGGTGACAATGAAGGAATTGACTTGAACTTGCAGCTAGTGTTATTGGCTAGCCTATCATTAGGTAGGAGTTTGGAAGGTGCTTTGGAAAGCTGGAGTTGCTGCAGTGCATTGTAATGCAATCATCTGGAAAGCCAAGTCTCCAGGGCTTCTGATTCTAATTATTTGACTCCTGAACCAAATTTTGGCTTGCAATGTTGCAGTTGCCTTGCATATGGCTGAGTTGTTGTCATTCCCTTTCCCAATTGGGAAGAGTGCAGAAAATTCATAGGAGTTGAACCACTTATGGTGAGCTACAATCAGATAGCTTTTGCTTCAAAGCTTGTGGTTTCATATCATCATGGCTAGGTTAAAAGGTCCTTGTTATCAAAGTGCCTTTGCATTAGTGTACCACTTGGTTTTAGTTCTGTAAAACTAAAATTGATGGTTCCAGTCAGATTTTCTGTATCAACCTGTTAACTACTTGAATAGTTGGCCTCCTGGTTCAGAAGTAGGGATGTTAGCACTGCACCACAAGAACTTCCTTTAACTAAATTAAAGTTTAATTGTTAAGGTGCTGATAAGATTGATCTTCTGCCCCCACCCCCCAACATTTGCTTTTGTAAAGCAGCAATTTGTTTCATTGTAGAATGAATAATCACTTTTTGAATGACTTGGAGTGACCAGGAGGCCTCTTGAACTATGGCTGACTGTTTTACTATTTGTAGTCCCACATCAATCCAATCTCTTGTTCAATTGACCTGACACTCATTGACTGTGCTACCTCTATTTCACTTAGAGCATTATTGCTAATGCAATTTCAGTAATATCTTTATGATGCAGTTGCTACTTGTGGCTCACTTGTCATCTTCAGTAGACCTGTTTCTTTGTCCTGGGCCTTTAAATCATGAGCTTCTGCCAGAACACTGACATCTGGGATTTAAATTTTTTTTGCCATTGATCTGCCAAATATATGGCTGGATTTCTTTGGCCTTTCTAGCCTATTCTCCAGTAAATTAAAGTGTAACTTGTTGCAGTTGTTGGTTCTGTTATGCCACTTGATGACTCAACTGGTTTGAGTTGATGCTTGGAGTTAGCAGCACAGTTGGCTAATCCCTTAACATTCAGTATATGAAGTAACTGCCATTTTTTCTTCCCTAGAAACCAGATCGTGATGAATGGGGGAGTGGCTTAGATGCAATGGTGTGTTCTCTGGAGCTGGAGAAGAGTGTAAACCAGTCGCTTTTGGAATTGCACAAACTGGCTACAGACAGGAATGACCCACATGTGTGTATTTCTCAACTCTGGCATTGGGCTGCTTATCCTGTCTAATGCACATGTAGACAAAATCTTAACTGGAAAATGGTGTGCTGACAAAGGGAGATGGAAGAATGGTGAAGGAGTTCTTGGAATTGATGCTTGTTTAATTTTAGTTAAAACTTGCATGCATTTGTAGATGAATGTCAAATTTGCCCTTAACTATATTTTTGGAACTTGATATTTTGCAAATTTAAGCTGTTAACAATAATCTTTGTTAATGTGATATGGATGTCAGTGGCTTGGAAAAAGGCAGTTAAGACTTCAATGGTTTGACCAATTGCCTAATAAGTGGGCCATTTTAATGAATTGAATTTAAACTTGAAGCACTGTTTAGATACATTGTCACAGATTGTGTAGTCTAAAGAATGTAATTTAAGATGGCTCAAGCAAGGATGAACAGGCATTGGCATAGACTGTCAACTTGCATTATGAAGGCAGTATCCTGCTGTTGGCTTAGTGTTGTGTGCACCTTCCAGTCTTGTAATAACGTCAGATCTCCAGTATCTGCAGTTTGTGATCTGAGGGAAGAAAGCAACTAGTGTTTCAAGTCCCATGACCCTTCATGAGAACTCTCTGGTCTTCCCTCAAAGTCACTTGGTCCATTTTTTTGTCTGAAGAAAACACATTAACAGATTGTTGACTTGAATTCTCCACTACTTTTTCTATAGCCTGATTTCACTTTAAAAATATCTCCTCTTAATGATGGCAGTCAGTACCCTCAATTCCTCAATCATTCTCTCCTGCAAAGGGAAGCAGACTTTTCACATCTACCCTATTTAAGTCCTCTAAATATTGCTTCAGTAAGGTCACTTGTTATGGACCAGAATACCTCAAATTTTTAGGTAGCCTAGACCTAACTTTTTAAAAATTAAAAAAAGGTAGCTGAGGTGCTGTCCTAGACTGGGCAAACTACTTGCCATCAAGCAAAAAACAACTTAAAACACATTAAAATAAAGTAATTTAAACAACTTAATTATTGGGAAACTTAACTGAATAACTTGCTATATTGGAATAGTTAATTAGTATCCTGTAAAACTCCTTGGCAAAAAGGCAAATTCAGACATTCTCTCATGCAGTTCTGTAATCCAGCAGGGGCACATCAAGAGAAGTCAAAGTAGCAGCTAGGAGACATTGACTGAAACTTGCAACTCTTGACACCCAAAGGCTTTTGTTTTAAAAACTAAATGCTAAATGAAACTAGAAAGCTTGGTCCAAGCTGGCAACACCATGTTGCTTCCATTGTTCCAACTTTTTTTAAATAAAACCAAAGGCCCCAAATTGTTTTACTTAGACAGCTCAGCATCTCTGCCTGTCATCTCAAATGAGGAAAAATAACCTCAGTGACAGCATTGTCACACTTCTTATTCTTGACAAAGTTCAACCATTCCTAAGAAAATCCTTCTACCTGTGACCAACTTAATGAACCACCTTAATTGCCTCAGTTGGTGGTTTGTTCTGTTGTGTGCTAGAAAAGAACCCTGCTATTAAGTCATCTCCAAACTTGATACAAAGTCTCCATTTTTTACCTTTTGGACATACCCAAAACCAAATCAAAGATCTTGCTTCATAAACTACTTGGGACTAAATTAGATGACTAAATGCAAGTAAACTATGATCCATCAACTAGTCTAGCTAAAACTTGAACCCTTTTAAGCTACTTAGCTTCCATCCTAGAATACCAAAGTATTAGGTCCAGCAGACTTGTCATGCATTTAGCTTCAAGTTTCTCCTTTCTGCCTTGGTGAAAGCTTAAGAATACTCTTCATATCTGCTATGAAGACTGATGCAAAGTATTTGGTCATCCCTGCTATTTCCTAATTTTTTTTCTCAGCCTATGGTCACTTTGGCTTCTTCCCCCTTGTATTTTAAAGCTCTTGCTGTCTATTTGTTACTTGCTAGCTTACCTACCCTTTTTTTTGGCCTTTGAAACTTTCCAACCCTGTTTTACTACCAATCTTTGCCACTAGTTTTAGTCTCCCTATGATACTGCTTAACTTGCTTTGGCTAACCATGGTCACTTTATCTACTTGATTACCTTTTCATGGGGATATTTTGATGTCAGCCTTGAACATGACATGTTTGATCATGTTTAGTCATTGACACTTAAGTCAACAGTCTCTCCATTCTATAGTTTAAAACCATACATGCTGATATTTTGCCAGATTGAAAGACTCTTCTGGAGGTAGAAGAAACTTAACTCCTATATTTGAACAACTTGGTTTGATTTCTTTGAAATCCAACCTAGATATTGTCATTTAAATGCATTTAAGCATTATAGAACCCTACTAGTGTAGTCTCAATGCTAACCAGTATCTGCATGTTACTCTAATTGCCACAATTAGGATGTTTGTGGCAGTTTATTGGAAAGGCTATTTGTTTACAAACCTGGGATAACTGTAAAGTTACAATCCTAAGTAATCCCTTAGGCAATTTGTGCAATTAACTTGTGCTTTCAAATGGTGACTCATGCTAGAGTCTAATTCTGAATTTAGGTTTTCCAGTGCTGTCCCAAATGGCAGTTCAAGCCTTGATCAAAAATCTGTTCTGGAGATCACTATTCTGGATCATAATGGAAATCTTGCTGCTCACAAGGTTAATGCAGTTGTCTTTGATTTTTCTCCACAGCTCTGTGACTTCTTGGAGACTCACTATTTGGATGAACAGGTCAAGTCTATCAAGCTCCTAGGAGATCATGTAACCAACCTGAAAAGATTGGGTGCTCCTGAAAATGGAATGGCTGAATATTTATTTGACAAGCACACCTTGGGTGAAGACAGCAGCTAAACACCTGCACTCTTTGCTGCTTGCAGCACTCAAAGCTCAGTGCATGTTATATTTGTAGTCCAGTTTTCATACTACCCAATTATGTAATTGATTATGCCACTAACTTAAATGGTTTCTAATAAGCTACATTGGTGGATTTTTGAAGTCAACTTGTAGAAAACATTCTTTGGCTTATCTCCAAATAAAGCAATTTGAACAATTCCAGTTTCTGGGTTTTTTGCCTGGCATGCTAAAATGCAGCTTAAATAGAAATATTTCCTGTTGTACAGTGGTGACTTGTGTAATGTCACAATTGAGTCTGATCTTTATCTTTGTACTTCCATGTACTCAGCCTTTTTTTGAAGAACAGGAAAATTGACTCTTCCCTCCATGGGCAAGTGCCAAATGCAAACTGACAATATTCTCAAGCTTTCCTGAATCAGTGTCACTTTGAATGTAGGGGTCATATCACTGACATTATCCCACAGCTTGCTAGTATATTACATGTTCCTTCTGAAAGGGAACAGCATCACTTTTTTTTTTGCAGGATTAAGGGGCAGTTTCTTGTCATGATACATTCTTAATGTAGTCACTACAGCATTGGTGGTATGTAAGCAGTGCAAGCAACTGATCAGTTGTTTGCAAGGGAAAGTCAAACCCCTCAGTACAACACAATTCCCCATCCTGTTACGGTTGGAGTAGGGGTTCTGTTCTGATAACTAAACCAGAAACACCTAGAGAAGCTAACCACATCTCCCCTAAACTCCTATGGGGAAGGAGAAGTTAAATGAAAGAAAATCCCTGATAGTCACTCTTCAAGTAATTGTTAAACACTAACAGTTCCAATTGCAAAATTGGAACAATTTCCCCCTTAACTAATTTTTCTAACAGAACTAAATTCTATTAGTATGCTGTTCCAATAAACCAGTTATAATTGTAGAAATGCAAGTAATAAAATAAACTTTAGTCTCAGTCTAAACACTTCTGTTCTCAAGTCATAAACACCTTTTTCCATTGATCTAGCTGTTGGATATTTTCTCTGAAATCTTCTGTGAGGACTCCGTGTTGCGGTATCTTTAATGGACAGATGGTCCTTTGGGTTTAGTGATTTTAATTTGAAAGCTAAATGCTTATTTCTCAAATGGCAGTTTGCTCTTGCACTAAGTTTCAAACACTTGTCATACCTTGAATGACAAACTTTCTTGACATTCAGTTTGACAACTGCAGACCATCAGGTTTAAACTGAGTTGGATTTCAATCACCTAAGTGCTTGGTTTAAATTAATTGGCTGATTCCAGCTAGTCGCCAAAGCATCAAAACAAGCCTAAAGCTTGCAATTGCATAGCCAGTTGATGCATGTTTCAATTTCAGAACTGTCTGTACCCCCTCACTGCTTAGACACACTTTCTGTATGAATCTCAATGGCCTTTCAATTATGCCATCATCCTCTTGCATCAACACAGCTCCAACCTCCACATCACTGGCCTCAATAGCAACTTTATAGGGTCTCCAGTTACTTAGTGTGGCTAAAACATGTGGTAGGTAACATGGTTTTTACATTCTCAAATGCCTTCTGGCATTGTTCTGTCCATCAAAATTGTGTTCTTTAGCAAATCTGTCAGTAGTGCCACCACACTACTAAAGTTTGCCTCAAACTTCCAGTAGAATCTGCTCAGTCCCAAAATTCAAAGCGCCTCTTTCTTCAAGGATGGTTTTGGAAATTACTCAATGGCCTTTGTCTTTGTGTTCCTCACGATCATCCTTCCATGTCCAATTAACATCTTTTTCTGCCTTTGTGAATTGAGTTTTTGCTAAACTTATAACTAGTTTTGCCTTCCATATTCTTTCAAAGAGCTCAAATGCACCATGTGATCTTTCCAAGAATGGCTAAAGATCACTAAGTCACCTATATAGACAGTGCAATTAGTCAATCCTGCCACAACACTTTATAAGTCTTTGAGATGTGGCTGGTGTATTCTTCATTCCAAAGTGCATTACTTTAAATTGACATAGCCCATTTGGGGTTACAAATGCAGAAACTTCTTTCACTCTCTCCAACAAAGGTACTTGCCAGTAACCATGAAGTAAGTCCAACATTGTGATGTAAGTGGCTTGTCCAACTTTTTACATGCAGTCCTCTAGCCTGGGAATTGGATGAGTCCAATTTAGTTATGGTGTTGACTTTCAGATAGTCTACATAGAATTGTTGAGTACCATCAGGTTTGGGAACCAATTCGATTGGCGAACTCTACTCACTTTGCCTCGGCTCAATGATGTTTTCTTGGAGCATCGCTTGCACTTCCTTCTGTATCTGTGCGGCTTTGAGAGGATTAAGCCCATAGGGGTGTTGTTTTATCAGAATAGCATTCCCTACTTCAACCTCATGTACTATAATATTAGTCTTCCCCATTCTATTCCAACGTATGTCCTCATATTTCTGCAACAAGCCTTTCAATTCAGTTCTGTGTTGCTGAGATAGCTTGTTATCCTATGCCATTCTCCAAAGACTTCCCCATTATTTAACTTATTCTGAGTCACATCAAAATCCAAATCATCTGGATTTGATTCCACATGCTGAGGGGCAGTAATTAATACCTGTTTCTCTGGTTCCCTGCCCCTGCCATAGTAAGGTTTCAAGTTATTCACATGACATTTCTGGTAAAGATTTTTCCTATCTGGCATCTTTGCCGGATAATTCACCTGACTCAACTTGTTCTCTATCTGATAAGGACCACTAAACCTTGCCTTGAAGGGACCTCCTACCCTGGTAACAGCACCAATACTTTAACCCTATGAGCAAACGTACAAATTTTAGATTTCTTATCTGTTTCTTGCTTCATTAGATGCTGTGCCACTTTCAGATGTTGTCTAGCTAATTCAACTACTCTGTTTAATCTTTCTGTCACCTCAGATACATAATCCAACTATGAGATCTCTGACTTCAGACCTATCAACCTTTCCTTAATTAATTTTAAAGGCCCTCTTACTTCATTCATGTCCAAATATCAACTCAAATGGAGTAAACTGAGTCGATTCATTTGGACCATCTCTAACGGGAAACAATATATTCCAATCATTTGGGTAATCTGGCAATAAGCCCTCAGCATGGTCTTCAGGGTCTGATACCACCTTTCCAATGCTCCCTGGGATTCACATCGTACACACTTGATTTAAAGTGTTGGATGCCTATGTTATCCATGACCTCCTTAAATAATTTGGTAGTAAAATTGGACCCTTGGTCTGACTGAATCTCCGTGGGTAGTCCATAATGGGTAAAGAAAGCAAGCAATTCCTCCACAACCTTTTATGCCTTCACATTCTGTAATGGAACTGCCTCCAGAAATCTGGTAGACACATCCGTTATTGTTAGCAAATACTGGTTTCCACTTTTGGTTTTAAGGAGGGGACCTACACAATCCATCATAACCCGCGTGAAATGTTCTTCAAATGTGGGAATTGGCATCAAAGGCGCTGGTTTTATTGCTGCCTGTGGCTTTCCTCCCATTTCGATCACAGTATGGTCAAATTTAAAATACAGATGGAGCGTGAGAAGGTTAAATCCAGTACCTATGTCCTGTGCTTAAACAAAGGAGACTGAAGGAATGAGGAAGGAGTTAGCTAAGGTTGAATGGGAGCAAAAACTTTATGGTGGGTCAATTGAGGAACAGTGGAGGACTTTCAAAACAATTTTTCACAGTGCTCAGCAGAAGTATATTCCAGTGATAAGGAAGAACTGTAGGAAAAGAGAGATCCAGCCATGGATGTCTAAGGAATTAAAGGAAAGTATCAGATTGAAAAAACACATACAAAAAAGCGAAGAGTAGTGGGAAACTAGTAGACTGGGAAATCTTTAAAGGCCAACAGAAAGCCACAAAAAAAGTTATGAAGAAAAGTAAGATAGATAATGAGAGTAAACTAGCTCAGAATAAAAAAACAGGCAGCAAAAGTTTCTATAAATATGTAAATCGTGAAAGAGTGGCGAAGGTAAACATTGGTCTTTTAGAGGTTGAGAAGGCCAATTTAATAACTGGGAATGAGGAAATAGCCGAGACATTAAACAGTTATTTCGTGTCGGTCTTCACAGTGGAAGACACAAATAACATGCCGAAAACTAATAGCAAGAAGGTTATAGCAGGTGAGGACCTAGAAACTATCATTATCACTAAGGAGGCCGTGCTGGGCAAGCTAATGGGGCTAAAGGTAGACAAGTCTCCTGGCCAAATGAAATGCATCCCAGGGTACTAAAAGAGGTGATGGGGGAAATAGCAAATGCTCTAATAATTATTTACCAAAATTCACTGGACTCTGGGGTGGTTTCTGCAGATTGGAAAACAGCCAATGTGACGCCACTGTTTAAAAAAGGAAGTAGACAAAAAGCAGGTAACTATAGGCCAGTTAGCTTAACTTTGGTAGTGGGGAAAATGCTTGAATCTATCATTAAGGAAGAAATAGCAAGACATCTGGATGTAAATTGTCCCATTGGGAACACCCAGCATGGGTTCATGAAGGGTAGGTCATGTTTAACTAATTTGGTGGAATTCTTTGAGGACATTACTTGCATGGTGGACAATGGGGAACTTGTGGATGTGGTGTATCTGGATTTCCAGGAGGCATTTGACAAGGTGCCACACCAAAGGCTGCTACATAAGATAAAGTTGCATGGTATTACAGGTAATGTATTGGCATGGATAGAGGATTGGTTAACCAGCAGAAAGCAAAGAGTAGGGGTAAATGGGTGTTTTTCTGGTTGGCGGTCAGTGGCTAGTGGTGTGCCTCAGGGATCAGTGTTGGGACCTCAACTGTTTACAATTTACATAGATTATTTGGAGCTGGGGTCTAAGTGTGGTGTGTCAAAATTTGCAGATGACACTAAGGTGAGTGGTAGTGCAAAGTGTGCAGAAGACACCGAAAGTCTGCAGAGGGATATAGATAGTCTAAGTGAGTGGGCAAAGGTCTGGCAGATGGAGTACAATGTTGATAAGTGTGAGGTCATCCATTTTGGTAGGAATAACAGCAAAATGGACTATGTTTTAAATGGTAAAAAATTGCAGCACGCTGGTGTGCAGAGGGACTTGGGTGTCCTTGTGCATGAATCGCTGAAGGTGGGATTGCAGGTACAGCAGGTGATTAAAAAGGCAAATGGAATTTTGTCTGCCATTGCTCAAGGGATGGAGTTTAAAAACAGGGAGGCTATGCTGCAGCTGTATAGGGTCCTGGTGA